TGTAAGATTTGACGTTGGATAAGAGTTTGTGCAGTAATAGTTATGAATAATTCTATGAAAGTCTAATTAATTGCAGATGATAATCGTTAAATATTTTGACCTTGATGGCAATCTGTAAACTGTTAGATATTCAGTGACCCGAATGTCGGATGTCTTAGCTAGTGCCCAGTGACATAACACTAGGCCTACAGGTATCTGGAAGCTAGTAGTAGTTGCCCTAGGAGAATAAAGTTTAATCTTATATTGTATGGAGAGTAATGGACAAGTTAAGACACCTATCGAATGAATGATTTGATCTTAAACCTTCTGAATAAATATTTAACAATAATGACTTGCCACTTGAACTGCTAGGAACTATAATTTTACTGCCTAGATCTCACAACTGGAATAGCTTTCTCATTTCGATCAAAATTTCCGCTACTCCAACTGAGTTCACCAGGACTAGTAACAAAGTTTTCGTTAAGCCTAGTATGATATTTAATAAACTGGCTTTAAAACACAACGCAAATCCTAGACTTCAGAACTATTATTTCAATACGGCAACTCTAATATTTTGCACTCAAAAATGATATAAGTTCAGGTCGTCAAAGTTGTATATGTTCTACAACTGTACTTGCTAGCACCTGATTACAAAACGTTTCCATTACAGTTGCTTTTTTAATTCTTTGACAGTTACTCTACCCCCCAATATTTCAAGAACAATATAGAGGATTGGAAAACAATAACGTCCAAATATTTAATTAAACTCGGTTTAACTTTAGTATATCTTATTTGTAACAGTATGGTCAGAACTCGATTTCTTATAGCAGAGCAAGAGAATGAAAAGCAAGCACTTTTGGGCTTGCTGGAAGAAAGACGTTTCTGCGACAGATGTGCGATTTGTGAAGGTTGTTTACGAAAATTTGATTCTTCAGATAGCTCGCTTCGTAAATAAAAGTGAGTGAGTGTCAAAATATTTATTTTGGAGTATGTGTTAATAACGTTTTACGAAAAGATGACCACATGTTAAACAATTTACACGAGAATTATGCATCCTATTAATCATTTCAAACTGGTTGTGGGCCAGTAGATTGAAATTTTCGCTCGTGCTGTTCTAAGGTCGTAAGGAGAATAAAGTCAAGTCTGATTCGACTATTCTCTTCAGTACAGACTGTTGTTAGTGCTTCAATAGAAGCACCTCTTAGTAGAACTAATCATTGTTTTTGCATATTTCTTTTATCATATGACTACTTTTAACGTCCAAACATCTTTAAACATACTTTCAATCGTATCACGACTATATGTTACTGTCGAGTCACCACGTATGTATCACATAATTATCAACAACTTTTTAAAGAAGTAGATATTTTAAAACAGATGTACCATAAAAATATATTTGTTCACACTTTGTCCAACGGGAATATGCAGTGAACGGTAAATGTATCCGGCCCTGGACCTGTATATTCCAAAACAATATATCTGCGCGAGTTCATGATTTTCCAGCCTTCACTACCTGGTCCATTCATACCTATCATCGGAAATTTATACGGATGACGTATTACTATTTTCTCAACTGAAGATATTACAACAGCTTCTCCTGGAATAAAATTCAGGAAGTGTTTCAGTTATACTACTGCTTTAAATTTAGTCTCTTCTGTTATTCCCCAAACTATAGCTTATGAAAGTTTAGTTTGTAAAGGTAAAAGTCTGGTTTGTTTTCTAACTCTAGAGAGTAAAAAACATTATAGTAATTCAGTATGCAGTTGACAGATCTGATTTTTCACGTAACACCAGCTGTTGTTTGATGTCATATCTCTCTATTTTGCTGCCTCACAGTAGACTTTCGCGAACTTATTAGAAATTATCTTCTCCAGATGCACATTATTCTTTCTAATACTGTAGCATTCTGCACACTGTTAATGTTAATCTAACCGCAATATGATAATGATGACACAGTCTTTGTTTTGTTATAGTGCAAGTAATTGCTTTTGTAAGTCACTCACTCTCACCTGGTTATTTCGTGCTCTTGGCTTTCCCACATTGATAGAGAAATACACCATTTGTGAACCATTTTAACTCATAACCCAGAGAGACTCCGCAAAACAAACGAATAATCCTACCTCAGTATCCAACATAAAAGGCAATGTCGAACTGAACGAGTATAGGACTGTAGTGTTGTTGGTTCATAACAACACGATCTTTGAAGCTTAGCGTATAACTAGTGTGAACACTTACATTCAACATGTAACACATGGAGAAGGTTGACAGTGATAAACGGTCATGTAGGCACTGTTATGCTGTATAATCCCTTCCTCTTCGTATCAAGTATATTAATCTCTTCCCAGCACAAATATTTGTTTTAGAAGTGTCAGACGTCATATTACTGATTGTCAGGTGGAACGAGTCAATGTGGGCAATGGTGTGACTTCCTCGTAAGATCTTACAGGTTAAGTAGTCACATCATGACGTGTCTGCTATTTTGGGATTAGGTTGAAAATCCAAACAATTTATAACCTCAAATCGAACATCAGTATGGGCATCGTTAGTTTAATAATTGGTCTAGAAAGCCTCATATATAGTAATGTAAAACTCTGTGTATGAATTCCTGTGAGAAACCATAAGTATGACTAAGTAGACTCTCCGTTTTCGAAGAATTGTAGGCGTAACAAATTTCTCGGCTCACAACTAAAAGAAGAGTATAAGGAAGGTGCAGTTAGTTATACACCAGTAGCTCTGTACCCAGTAATGGTAAATTTGTGGAATTCCCAGTAGGTTGTAATGTCTAGTACTAATACACACTCATATGATTCATTTTAATAAATTAAACAGCATGTGACTATTGAACCATTTTTACCTTTATAAAAACTATTTTTTCACAATAAGTTGTGACCTTCAGCTCACACGTCTTATTTTTATATCCTTGTATTTGTACGCTCATGTGCCTTGTGGATACTTTTTTGTGCTTGTCTGTCGCTTATTATATTATTCAATCTCTGTGTCTGCCAAACTGCATTATCTACTTCAAGCTACACTGACGCTTATAATCAGTAGTATAGGTTATTTATTATGTTTTTCTTCTTCGACCTGCTTCTTCGTTTCATTTCGCTTATTATCTGCCTGGGTCGATTAGTGTATGAAGTATTGGTATCTCAAATTAATTCCCGTATTTGACTTGTTATACTCCGTTATTCTCTAAAATGAATAAAGCCAATATTTATATACGAGAGTGACCTGCATGTACATCTCTTCGACAACACGATTCGATCAAATCGAAGTAAAATCAATGGGACTGAAAATTCTAAAAGTATTCTGAGCTTGAGAATACCTTAACCAGTAAAACCCGTGATAATCGAAATATGCAAACCCAGTGAAATCAGAAGTCAGGAGCGAAGAGGTTCGAAGATATATTTGATAGAATATCGATATATCAATGAGTGCTCAATCTAGGACGACTAGCGGTTGCAGGAAAAGTGATGCACTGCCTACCCACTCGTGATCAAGTTCGGATGCATGACCAACTGACGTCAGCTAGGTGAGTCCGGTAAAACTAATGTGGTCAGCATCAAACATCGAAGACTTACAGAGCTATTGATTTGGGGGATTTATTTACCGCTACAGGCCTCAGAAGGACCACTTGTCGAGACGGCAGACAGATAAAATTTTGTTCCGGACAAAATCTCACACAAATCTGTGAGAGCCAGTCAGTGAGACTTAAACACTTTAACAATTTGGGATCATTAAAAAGATCTCTGAGGTAGGAAATTTCATCAGTAAGCTATTCTTAGATGCTGTTGACGTGTCCTGTTCAGCACCATACAGCTTTCATGATTTGAAGATAGGAGAGCCAGAATTTACTAAGTACTTCTATCATAGCTTAGAGGTAATCTATATCATGCGGATCAAACTTTAAAATGTTCGAACGTTTTCGGATAGAAATTTATAACCGTCCACTCCCTAGGATGTTCCTACTTATCAGGATGGCAATATAAGTTACGAAGAGAAGTATTCAGATCGCTTTTTTCATTTAAAGAACAGAACATCAGTTGGTAGTTGGAGGAGAGGTCGTGGAGTGTCTCCTTCAGCAATCATCACCAATCTCTACGGAAGTAAAGGGCATGTCGATGATTAACTTTAAAGATCCAGTGCATGTCACCACCATTCTTACCTACAGTAGGCAATAACACGACATACTGATTCTAACCGAGAAAAATCTCTCACAAAATTTTTGTAAGAGCTCTTTCGTGTTCTATCCTTAATTGATCTCCTCACACAGTTAGTTCAGTAGTGAGTAGTACGAGTGGTCTGCTAGAGCGAAGATAGTTATGAGAAACATGTCGCACCCAAATCTGGTCAGCCAGCTATGCTCATTACAGAGGCGCCTGAGGTATTTCATTTCCTAGCCTCAGTAAGGCATTGGTTAATTTCATTCATAGTCTACCAACTTCATAATAAGAGCCAAACACAACCAAGAGCTTTTTTTTAAGAATTCCATTATCGTATTGTCTTTCGAGAGACACGCTGAATGAACAAATGGGACAAATATATTGCACACAACCGTCACTGTCCATGATGCATACTCTTCCCTTCTCTTCCATCAACAGACTCATTTTTCATTGTATATGCTCATAGAAAGCGAAATAAACCTAAAATTCATATTCTTCATGCACATTATTCCAGAGTATGACCAAAAAACAACTACAATAATTAGTGTATACCAGCATGTCGTAGGGTTATTGTAGGATGTGACAGCTTCTGCTTTAAAAAGCATGATTCCAATTTGTCAGTAAACAAGTAAAAATTATTAGTTATGAATTTCGATCCATCAGTTCAAATGATTCATTACATTAATTCTTTGTTTTAAATTACTTGACATGTCATCTCCATTGGGCGGTAGTTAGCTTCATAAGGTATGTGGTCCTCATTATTTTTCATATATTGTTTATACTGATAATTTTACTCTTGTTCTTGTTAGCTACGTTTGTTTGAAGAAATTTACTCTTGTTTGCACTGTTTTTCATTTTAGAATGCTTTCAAATGTTTTTAGGTATCAGGCGTTTATACACAAATGGCAGATTACTACAGCCAAGATTACGGGTCATCAATGGATTACAATAACATGGAGACTGGTTACGGGTCTGCTGCTCAGTCTACCGCGATGGGTAATGGGGAATATGGGCAATTTTCATATGACCACATAAGAGATGAGGAAGACTATCAAGCAATTCCTCGCCCCGAAAAGCGAGTATCATCGCCCCAAACTAAATACGACTCTGGAAATGACGATCGAATTCGGGATAAAAAACGTGGGCGGAGGAAGTCGCGCAGTCGTAGTCGTGATCGTCGACGTCATAGCCGAGATCGACATCGAGACCACAGTCGAGAACGTAAATCTAGGAGACATCATTCACGTCATCGGTCAGCTTCAAGTCCTACGTTAGTATATAAGTATTGGGATGTTCCGCCCCCAGGGTTTGAGCATGTAACTCCGGCACAGTACAAAGCCCTTCAAGCATCAGGTCAAATACCGGTCAATGTATACGCTGCAGGACAGGTACCAATGCCAGTTCATGCTCCGAATGCTCCTCTAACACTCACTACTAATGTTCCGTTCGCCGGCAGTGCTGTTTGCAGACAAGCACGCCGATTATACGTTGGTAACATACCGTTCACAGCAACAGAAGAGAATATGATGGAATTCTTTAATAAACAAATGCGTGCTCAAGGCTTGATTCAAGCGGAAGGTAACCCCATAATTGCCGTGCAAATAAATATGGAGAAAAACTTTGCTTTCTTGGAATTTCGTTCTGTCGACGAAACAACCCAAGGCCTCGCGTTAGATGGTGTTTTGTTTCAGAACAAGCTTTGAAGCTTCGCCGACACGTGATTATGCTCCTCTATACCAGGTGTTTCG